CTTGTTTGTCTCTGAATCTCTGGCTAAGTCCCTCATGGTGAGGGCTAAATGATGGCTAGAAGCTGGCCCAGCACAGGATGAATGTCTGTGTTTGCCAGGGAGGGGCACAGAGAAGGCGGAGAGAGCTTGTGGCAGGGAACACTGGGGTGGGGCTTGGCCTGAGCGAATGTGCCACAGACTCTTAGGGCAGCCCCAGGGCACTGGGGGCTGGGGAGGCCCAAAGGGGAAGTAGGGTGGGGCAGGAAATCAACCCACATTTATTGAATGCTTACTCTGAGCTAGGCACCGGGCCAATGGTTCCACCTGTACAGTCACCTCTATTCCTGTCACGGGGCGGCGAGGGAGGCCCTACTGTCACTTCCATATCTCGCTCAGGCAGCCGTCCGGGACACCCAGCGACTAAGCCATGACTCAAACATGGCCAGTCTGAGCTCCGAGCTTTCGCCTTTAGCTGCTGGGCTGGCCTGGCTCCTAGCCTGGGTGGGGCTGGGCACTCAGTGCCATGGTCTTAGGCATCTCCCAGGGCTTATCGGAGACCTGGACGCTCCCCAGGGCTTGGCAGTTGACTTCGGTGCGTGGATAAGCTTTGTGGGGAACATGGCTCTGTGGGAGGGGACTCCCTTCCTTCCTCCCACCCGCTGCTCGTGTCCGCTCTGCTCCAAACCATGGCCACGGCCTTGGGACTCCAATGCACTCTTGTTCCCAGGGTTCCCAGGACTCTTGTCTCCAATGCTCTGGGTCTGTGTGGGCTCTTGGCTGCCAGGAGATGAGAAATGGCCTCCCTGTCCTCCGTCTGCCATGGGCAGCCCATCTCCCCCGGCCTCCAGGCTTGTAGCAGGGACACCCCCACATACATATTGAGATTCTCAGACTCACTCTCAACTCTACTGCCATCCCAGTCCCCAGAGCCCACCCAGTCACCCCTGCAGCAGGTCACTGCCCTGGGATCCCACCACACACACAAGCGCCCTGCCACTCTCCTGGGCAGCTGCCCATGAGACCGTGGGCTCCTGTCACAGTGGAGGCTTCCTGATCCAGGGGCATAGCGTCACCTACACGCACACCCAGGTCTGCACAGCCCCCCACATATGTCACCCTGCGCACCGCCCGAGTCACTGCCTGGCCCCCCCTCACATCCTGCGCACAGCGCCAGCAGAATCCAGTCACTGGCCACACACACTCCAGAGCAAACACACATCATCCACACACACAGCCCAATAGAAACACACACACATCCACACACACACCTAAACAAGAAACACACACTCATACACACACACGCCAGCAAACAGTGCTAGCCACACACTCCGACAGAAACACATGCTCATCCACACACACAGCCCAGTAAACACACACATCCACACACACACACACCAATGAAACACACTCATCACACACACACCTTGACAGAAACCCCTCATCCACACACACAAGAGAAACACACACTCATCCACACACCAAGCAAACACACCTCATCCACACACACAAGAAGAAGCTTACATCATCCACACACACCAGTAGAAACACGCCCTCATCCACACACACACCAAAGAGAGCACGCACTCATCACACACACCAATAGAAACACCTTCATCCACACACACCAATGAAACACACCCTCATCACACACACACTAAGAGAAACACACCCTCATCACAACAAGAAAACACACCTCATCCACACCACGAAACACACACTCATCCACACACTGTGCAGAAACACACCCTCATCCACACACACAAGAGAAACACACACTCATCCACACACACCAATGAAACACACCTTCTGTCCACACACACACCAGAGAAACACACACTCATCCACACCCAAGAAAACACTACCCTCATCCCACACCAATAAAACATGCCCCTCTCCACACCAGAGAGAAACACACCCTCATCCACACACCAATAGAAACACACCAGCCCATCCACACACACAAGAAAACACACCCTCATCCACACCAAGAGAAACACACACTCATCCACACACACCAATGAAACACACCCTCATCCACACACCAGAAACACACACTCATCCACACACACCAATGAAACACACCCTCATCCACACACACACACAAGAGAAACACACACTCATCACACACAATGAAACACACACTCAATCACACACACCAGGAAAGAAGAAACACACACTCCATCCACACACACCAATGAAACACCCTCATCCACACACACAAGAAAACACACACTCATCCACACACCAATAAGTACACCATCATCCACACACACCAAGGAGAAACACACACTCATCTACACACACACAAGAGAAACACACCCTCATCCACACACACCAACAAAATACACACTCATCCACACACACCAATGAAATACACACTCATCCACACACAATGAAACACACCTCATCCACACACACAATAGAAACACACCTCACACACACTGTCAAACACACCTTCATCACACACACCAAGAAACACACATAATACACACACCAATGAAACACACCCTCATCCACACACACACAAGAAAACACACTCAACACACACACACCAATGAAACACACCCTCATCCATACACATCCCCACACACACACCAACAGAAACACACACTCATCTAAACATGCCACACACACCAACAGAAACACACACTCATCTAAACATGCACACACACCCCAACAGAAACACAGTCACCAACACACAAACAGAAACACACATCCAAACACGTGCACGTGCACACACAGACACGCCAGCAGAAACCCAACACCCTGATACACATATGCCAACACAAACATAGCCACATCAACGTGTACTTTCAATCACTGTCATGCCAGCATTTGCACAAGCACACACACAGTCAGCCTCTCCCACTACCCTCACAGACCCCCACCATCTACACGAAGACTCACAAACACACCCACACTCTTTCACACCTACTTTCCAACAGCCGCTTGCAGCGTCCCACACACTCAAAGCTCTCCTAGTACACACTCGTTCTCACAGTCACCTTTACCCCTCCGCACTCTCTTCAGCTGAAACATACGCACATGTACAGACAGACACATAAAACACACATACAACACATGTGCACACACAGAAACGCTCAAACACACAGACACACAGAGAACTCACACACACACAAATATGTGTACACACACAGACACGCGCAGAAATGCTTAAACACAGAGACGTGCAGACGCACAGACACACGCTCAAACATACACAAATACATGTACACACAGACACATACAAATGCCCAAACATGCGGATACACACACAGACCCAGAAATGCTCACACACACACAGAGAATTGCTCAAACACACACAAATGGCCGGGTGTGGTGGCTCATGCCTGTAGTCCCAGCACTTTGGGAGGCAGACACGGGCGGATCACTTGAGGTCAGGAGTCGGAGACCAGTAGGGCCAACACGGTGATATCCCGTCTCTACTAAAAATACAAAATTAGCCGGGTGTGGTGGTGGGTGCCTGTAATCCCAGCTACTTATGAGGCTGAGGCAGGAGAATCGTTTGAACCAAGGAGGTGGAGGTTGCAGTGAGCCGAGATTGGGCCACTGCACTCCAGCCTTGACGACAGAGCGAGACTCCGTCTCAAACACACACACACGTACATACACATGTATACACACGCAAACACACACATGCACACATAAAGTACACACGTACACACACACACGCTCAAACACACGCAAATACACACACACACAGCATGTCCCCAGCCACCCTCTCTATTACACAACCTCCCAGCTCAAACACCTCTACCTCTCTCGTGGACGTTTTCACTCTCTCCCTCCCCACGCCACCTCTCTGTCAAACTCACTTTGTTCGCACTGGCCCTGCTGGGGAAGGGTTCGATCGTCACCCCCCTTTCAGCACAGGACCCCATCCAAGGAAGGCAATGGTCTCCTCTCGCTCTTCCTCGGCCAAAGCATCAGCTCACTGTCCTCCCCACCGGCAGGTGTCTGCGACCCCCACCTGGGCTCCAGACCCCGGCCTTCCGCACAGAGAGGACGCCCAGCAGCCCCGCGCGGCCCAGCGGAGGGCATCTCACCTGCTTGCACTTGTCCTCGGCGGCTTTCTTATCTGCCTCGGCCTGCTCCGCACGGTCGATGGCATTCTCCTTGTCCAACTTCAGCATCTGCATTTTCTTCTTGATGGCCTCCATGGCTGGGCTCTGGCGCAGGGGGCGTGGGGACCGCGGCTGGCTCTGTGGGGGCTGCGGCACGCGGGGGCTGCGGCTGTGGGGCCGAGTGAGCCTGGCAGGGTGGAGGAGAGGGCCTTATAGCCTCCCAGGGTGCCCCCGCCCTCCTGCCGGGCGAGTCTTGGAGGAGGCCCAAGCCCAGGCCGGCCGGGCCAGCCGCCACTCGCTCGCTCAGGAGGACTTGGCCAGCTCACCGTGCTCCCGGCAGCCCTCGCCTTATTTGGACCTAGGATTTTCTTAAAGGAAGAAAAAAAAAGATCCTAGCTGTTTCCATTTTTAACCTGGTGACACAGGTCCCGCGTGGGTGTGTGGGCACGGCACAGGCCCAGGAGAAGCTGCCCGGGCAGGACCTAGGGTGGGGGCTGCTCTGGGCTGCCTCAGTTTCCCCATCCGTCGTTGGGAGGAATGAAGAGGGCTGTGGGTGGGTGCAGAGTCCTGGCACTGCGATGTGGGGAGGCTCCTGCCTTTTCTGTGGTCTTGTCTGTTCCCCCCTGAGTACCTGGTCCCTCAAAAATGGGAAAGTACTTATTAAGTAAAATGAGCAATTCCCCCTACACACACACACACACACACACGCTTTTCTCTGCCTAGGAAATGTTAGGAAACGTCTATTTATCTTTCAAGGCCCAGATTCAATGGCCCCTCCTTCAGGAAGCCGTCCTGGATTCCTAGACAGACTTTTGGACTTCCAGCCCAGCATCAAACCTTCTCCTCCCCTTTGGGTCCTGCCTCTCCAGTATCAGGGATTAGGCCTGCACCCCATTTCCTGCCACCACCCCCAGGGAGCCTTCCTGGATTTCTCCCACCTCTTTCTGCTGTGCCTCTGTCTCTCTTTTGGTGACTGTCCCTGTGTCTCTCTCAGCTCCCCGCTTAAGACTCTGCCCCCAACTCTCTCCATACAGGACCCCTGTACCCCAGTTTTCTCACCCCCAGGCCTTTGTGCCATCCGTCTCCTTGGCCCTACTGTGCCTCCTTTCTCTCCTCTAGCAATCTGGGGCAGGATTCACTGACTCCAGAAAGCTTTTTCCTTCCTTAGAGAGTAGAGCTAAAAGAATAAAACAAATTTTTTTTCTTTTTTCTTTTTTAAAGAGAAAGTTTAATTTATTGGCTCATTCATTCAGGCACTGAATTCCTCTCATGTGCTGTGCCCTAGCAGTGCACACTCAGCATGTGGGAGCTGTTACTGTTATTATTTGAGCATCATTTATGAGATGTGACATGCTTTGGGGCAGGCCTGGGGCTGGGTCTTGTCTGTGGTTTTCTGAGCGCCTGGACCCTGGAAGATGGGAAAGTGTTTGTTAAAATGAACACACACACACAGGCACACACACACACACACACACACACACACACTTCTCTGCCTAGGAACTTCTGTTTATCCTTCAAGGCCCAGATCCAATGACTCCTCCTCAAGGAAACCTTCCTGGATTCCTAGACAGACTCCTGGACTCCCAGCCACCATCAAGACTCCTGTGTGGGATGAAGTGGAGGTGGGGAGGCCTCCTCGTTTTCTGCCCAAGGCTGTAGAGGAAACAGGATCGTGGGAGAGATGGGTAGTGGTCAGTGCCACTGGGGACTGTAGGTTCAGGCCAAGAGTGTCCAGCTCCCGTCTGCCCCCTCCCAGCTGTCTCACTGTCCATTAAACCAGCTTCCTTCTCTTTGTCATGGTGAGAACTTCAACCCTGTTGGTGCAGGGGCTGAAAAGGTAGCACATAGAACATTCTAGAACTTCTTTCATGCACTAAAGACATTGACTTCTCCCTGTGTTCTGGAATTAAGGGAGTCCAGCCCAGACCCCTCCTCAACTCCATTTTTCATCCTGCCCCCTTATACAACCCCTCCCCCATGCTACACAGACAGTTTCCTCCGGTGACAAAAGCAGACCAGAATAATTGCATCTCGAGGGACGTCAGTCACGATGAAAGGATCCTGGGTGGATAATGAAGAAATGCCATTCATGGACTAAGCTCAGCAGACGACTCACAGATCCCACTTCACTCTCCCTGAGCCCTAACCGGGGGACTGTTTTTATTCCCGTTTTTTTTTTTTTTTTTTTGGAGACAGAGTCTTGCTCTGTTGCCCAAGCTGGAGTGCACTGGCATGATCTTGACTCACTGCAACCTCTGCCTCCCGAGTTCAAGTGATTCTCCTGTCTCAGCCTCCCGAGTAGCTGGGACTACAGGTGCATGCCACCACGCCTGGCTAAATTTTTGTATTTTTAGCAGAGATGGGGTTTTGCTATGTTGGCCAGGCTGGACTCCAACTCCTGACGTCAAATGATCCACCCACCTCTGCCTCCCAAAGTGCTGGGATTACAGGCATGAGCCACCATGCATGGCCTTTTATTCCCATTTTTACAGAGGAGGAAGTTGAGGCTGGCCCTCCATGTCAGAGGCCATCCAGCCAGGAGAGGCGGCTGCCACGGAGGCCCCTTTGCCTTTGCAACAAACCCCAGGAATGAGCTGCGGTTATGAGCCCCTGCCTGTGCTACAAATGGGGAAACTGAGGCCCAGAGTGGCTCACCCATAGTCACCCAGCTTGTGAGTGGCCCAGTTGACTCTAGGACTGAGACTCCACCTGCCCCGCTCCACCACAACCAGGCCTCCACGCCCACCATTTCTCATTCTCTTGACTGTCTCTGGCTGAGTCATCAGAGGTCAGTCCTGATGTCCTCTGCACCCCTGCTGTCCCCCGCTGTCCCCAGAGACCCTGGGACCAGCCTCACCGCAGGTGGTGTGGCTAATTCCAGGCCTGACACCACCGGCCTCGGAAAGAGATCCCTCCCGCAGGAGATGTCTGCATGCTCCATGGCCTTGTAGGGAAGACCCTTGTCCCTGGTTCGGTTTCTTGCAAAGGGAGCTCCCGGAGGTGGAGTCAGATGCGGAGGAGGGGAGAAGCAGGCTAGGAATGGCGTTAGGACTAGCTGCATGACCCCATCAGCATCTTTTTTGTGCCCTCCTCTGCAGGCTTGGTAACGGACTTACGTCTGGGTATGTGCTCCAGGGAACACCCCAGGAGGCCTGGTCGGGGCTGGGAGGGTCATTTGGGGTTCCTGGCTGCTGGGGGCCCTGCCTCAGCTGTTCAGACTGTGTATTCTAGAGTATGAGGCAGGTGGAGGCTGCCATTTATAGCTCAGGCGTGAGCTTCCCTCCTGCACTTCAACCTCTCCAACTGGGGGCTTCTAAGGACGGGGTGGGGAAAGGAGAATGACCCATCAGCATCCCAACCACCTCCCAGTCATGAGACCCAGAGTCATTTATCAAGCATCTACTACCATGTGCCGGTTTTTGGAACACTGTGGTGGACATGACTCATCCCAGTGCGGCGAGACAACCGATAACTGCAATTATGGAATTAATTACAATAGGGCAAATGACTGTCTTTTGATACAAAAGTTCAAGGAGGTCAGGCAAAATGGCTCACGCCTGTAATCCCAGCACTTTGGGAGGCTGAGGTGGAAGAATCACTTGAGGTCAGGAGTTTGAGGCCAGCCTGGGCAGCATAGCAAGATCCCATCTCTACAAAAGATACAAAAACTAGCTGGGCATGGTGATCTGTGCCTGCCATCCCAGCTACTCAAGAGACTGAGGTAGGAGAATCACTTGGGCCCTGGAGTTTGAGGCTGCAGTGAGCTTCTCTCTCTCTCTCTCTCTCTCTCTCTCTCTCTCTCTCCTTCCTTCCTTCCTTCCTTCCTTCCTTCCTTCCTTCCTCCCTCCCTCCCTCCCTCCCTCCCTCCCTCCCTCCCTTCTTTCTTTCTTTCTTTCTCTCTTTCTTTCTTTCTGTTTCTTTTTTTTCTTTTTTTCTTTCTTTCTCTCTTTCTTTCTTTCTCCTTTCTTTCTGGAGACAAGGTCTCCCTCTGTTGCCCAGGCTGGAGTGCAGTGGCACAATAGTGACTCACTACAGCCTAGATCTCCCAGCTTCAATTGATCCTCCCACCTCAGCCTCCTGACTAGGTAGGACTACAGGCATGTGCAACTATGCCTGGATACCTTTTTGTTTTTGTAGAGGTGGCGTCTTGCTATGTTGCCCAGGCTGGTCTTGAACTCCTGGGTTCAAGAGATCTTCCTGCCTTGGCCTCCCAAAGTGTTGGGATTACAGGCATGAGCCCCTGTGCCTGGCCTGCTGTGAGCTATTATTGCACCGCTGCACTTCAGCCTGCGCATCAGAGACCTCATCTCTTTAAAAATGCAAGGACAAATAGTTTATTTGGGAGGTGACCCAAGGAGATACAAGTAGAGGATGGGAAGTGAAATAGGGAAAAGAAAGCAGCCAGCCATTAAGCACGCGCTGTGAAACCAGTTTACTGCCATGGACAAACAGGGTGCAGTCCCACTGAGGGCCTCTGGAGGCAGCAGAGAGCACACTCTTTGGAGTTGTCCCAGCTGAGGGGCGAGGGAGCTGGGGTATTTATCCACCAATTCCATGCTGTTGTTGATTGAAGGCTGCTCTTAGGGGCTGCTGATTCTGCTGACCTGCCCTTGTATGGGCCACACCCACTTCAGCAGCTGGAGGAAGACCTCCTTTCTCCCTAGCAGAGAGATGAAGCTGCTAGAAGTAGTCCTTGGAGAGAAACAGTAGGAACCTAGTGGATCTGGGCAGGCACCTAGAGTTTGAGCTAAATTTTTTTTTTTTTTTTAGATAGTCTTGCTCTGTTGCCCAGGCTGGAGTGCAGTGGTGTGATCTCGGCTCACTGCAACTTCCACCTCCCAGGTTCAAGCAATTCTCGTGCCTCAGCCTCCCAAGTGTCTGGGATTAGAGGCACGCACCACCACGCCTGGCTAGTTTTTGTATTTTTGCAAAGACAGGGTTTCACCATGTTGGCCTGGCTGGTCTCGAATTCCTGACTTCAGGTGGTCTGCCCGCCTCGGCCTCCCAGAGTGCTGGGATTACAGGCATGAGCCACTATGCCCAGCCTAAAAATGTTAATGAATGCAAAATGCAGGCACCTAATTAGTCTTGGGTGGAAGTTAGGGAAAAACCTCCCTCAGAAAGTGGCAATTGAGGGAGGTCTGAACAGTGGTGGTGGGGTCTATGCGAAGGTCATAGGAGGAAGGGACTGAGGGCGGGTAAGAGTGTCTGCCATTGAATGCAGAGGTGAGGAGGTGGTGTGGTGTGGTGGGTGGTGAGGTTGCAGGGACAAAACAACAGAAGAGAGGATGGGGACTGCCCCCAAGCATGTATTCTGCAGTTTGAGACATGCAGAGAGACCAAGGCAACAGGTGAATTTACTGAGTTCTGATAGAAAAGAGCAAAAATGTTCTCAGCTTACACTCTATGGAGTTTCGTTTCATGGGGTACAATAGAGTAATAAGATGACAAGGACGACAATGAAAATGACCCCGAAGCTGCGTGCAGTGGCTCACACCTGCAATCCCAGCACTTTGGGAGGCAAAGGTGGGAGGATTGCTTGAGCCCAGGAGTTCAAGGTCATCCTGAGCAAAAGAGCGAGATCCCATCTCTACAAAAAATTTAAAAATTACCTGGGTGTGGTGGCATGCGTCTGTAGTCCAAGCTACTCCAGAGGCTGAGGCAGGAGGATCACTTGAGCCCAGGAGTTTGAGGCTGCAGTGAGCCATGATGGTACCACTGCGCTCCAGCCTGGGCAACAGAGTGAGACCCTATCTCTTAATAAAAAAAGAGTTTCTAGGCCAGGTGCAGTGGCTCACACCTGTAATCCTGGTACTTTGAGAGGCCAAGGGGTTGGGTCCCTTGAGGCTAGAAGTTCGAGACCAGCCTGGCCAACATAGTGACATCCTGTCCCGACTAAAAATACAAAAATATTATCCGGGCATGGTGGTGCACACCTGTAATCTCAGGTACTCGGGAAGCTAACGAGTGTTGCTTGAACCTGGTAGGTGGAGGTTGCAATGAGCTGAGATTGCACCATTGCACTCCTGCCTGGGTGATGAGCAAGAGCCTGTTTAAAAAAAAAATTATCTGGGAAGGGGCAAACCAGTAGTGGAGGGGCAGGGAAAAAAGGGCCCTAAGTCCTCCCCATAGTCTCTGAACCGCATTTTGAGGGAACTGTGTGGGTTAGAGAGCTTGGCCATTAATGCCGTAAAACAGGCATGACCACAAGCTTGGCTGCATCGTCACGACAATTAATAATAATTATAGTTAACGCTGACATGTCTTTAATGTGTCCATGCTGTTCTCTGTGACTTGCACACATAAACTCACTTAATTTTCACAATAACCTCGTGAGATAAGTGCTGTGTCATTTCCATTTTATAAAAGGAGAAATTGAGGCACAGAGAGGTGAAGTAACTTGCTCAAGCTCACACAGCTAAGAAGTGGTGGTGTTGGGAATTGAACCAAGAGTGTCTGACTCCAGATTCTACACATCGACCCACAAACTATAACCTGAGTGGCCTCCCCTATTCAATCTCCTACCTGAGTTACCTTCAAGGACAGCCACTGCCCACTGGGTGTCAATGGTACCATTGGAGAACGATTCTCCATGGGTCTCTTGCATTTCTGCACACCCCAGAATCAGGTGCCCAGACAGCTTTTATTCCAGCTATCTTTTCAAGGATGTTTGTATAGCAAACAGCCTTGGAAGACAGAGTTTCTTCTTGTGGAGCAGAGGGCAGTTTCATTTGCTGTTCATATAATGAAGATAATGTCTCCTGGTATTAAAATGGACCAGGTTTATTTGCAGTCGACTATAAAAATAGGGATCTTTAAGCTCAGAGTTCCTTGGCTGTGGAACTAACCCAGTGTGGGCTAGTGCAAACACAAAGTTCATGCTGCCTGCTGTGCCACAAGTAATAAAGTCCTTTGTCTCTGACGCTGGAGTCTCCTGTCTTCTGCCCGCATCCAT